AGCAGGTGCAGGAAAAAAGCAGAGAAGTAATTAACATAAAATTATATTACATTATGCCATCACCCAACAGGTGTACTAGCAGGTGATCTTTCTAATTATAATGCACTCCAACATTTTCAAGGCTATTATTCCTTCTGCATAAAAACCTGTGAATACAAACCATTTTTACCTCATTGCACTAAGGCTAATAGCCACGGCACAGTAATTGGAACATCCAGTATTAATTCTCTGAATGCTCTTCTTTGTTGTATACTTTTGGGGAAAAAAAAAAATTAAATGTAGGTAAGTACCTATGTTAGGCTCTTAAAGTAATCCATCTGACTTATTTTTGCAGTGGGGTTGAGAACCTCCAGCTCCTGTTGTATCCGATTCATAGCCAAGAGTTTATTAGAACCTCTGGGAATAAATAAAGACGCAATGAAGGGAAAAGGAAGTTGAACCAGAAGCTCTGGTTCAGTGTTAGCCTGATGCTCTCAGGTGTTATTCAAATTCAAATAAATTTGCAAATACTCCTAAAGATGACCAAAAAACATCCTGTAAGTTGCAATGGCAATAAGAACACCTTTAACAGCAACAACAACAGACTTCCCTGCCCCTGTCTGTAAGGAATCAATTCTCAAGAAAGATAGCCAGAAGTACTTCAACCTCACAAACCAACAGTTGAACCTCACAAGGAATTCAAACTGAAACCTGCTGGGATATCATGAGAGACAGAAAGTTTGCCTTATCTGAGTAAATCCAAAATTTTTCATTAATAAAATTTTGCAGTTAGGGAAAACCAAAACAAAACACAGAAGCGAGCTCAGAGAATTCTTCTAGAGCTTTTAAAAGTTAACAATTTAACTGGCAACAGTTTTCATGAAACATCGGTTTACAATTATACTACTATAATATTAGCTTCATTTCATTATTGAGCTGAATAGTTTCTTTACACCTGTCACCCATCTACCATCTTTGCTATTTTTGACTGAAGCCATACATACAGCTGATGAGAACGCAACACATCGGTAGGCGTCAAAACTTTCAGTAAGCCTCCAAAAGCAGATTAGCTGCTGCCAGAAGAGAAACCAAACTTTTCGTAATACCAAAATGAGTTTACTTATTGCATGCCAAGCACAAAAGTAGCGATTTGTATAGGCATGATGACAGGAGGAAACTCACCACACAGGTTGAAAACAATATAGATTATTTGTTTTTCAGACTGATCCTGCCTCTATCTACACAGCAAAATGAACCACTTGCACTTAAATTCACCTTCTGACTGGCATTTTTCTTTAATAGGAACAGATATTTCTTATTCTTCAAAATGCGGTTCCTCTGGCCTCCTGCATTCAAATTCCTCATAATATGTTTCTCTTTCTCATTGTTTGCCCCCAGTTCATTCTCCTTCACTCACCCATGCCACACTGTCCTCCTGCTGCTGGAACAACTTGCTCCAAACACCCTTACTCAACTAGTGTAAAATCCCCAACCCCTAGCTTCTTTCCTGAAGATCTGCTCCCTGAAGATCTCCTGAATTGCTTTCCTGAAGATCTCTTGAAGATCACTCCGAGATCTGCTTAATTCAGTACCTCACTTCTAACTGATGAGTGTCATGTCACAGGAGCTTTCACAGAGCTTAAGAATGAGGTCCAATGGCTTATTTGTATGTGCTGTTGAAATACCTGTAGCAGTATTGAGGTTAACCTTTTCTGGTTAGCTGAGATAATTAAAACAAAATTCCCCCAAAATCACTGCTGCAGGCCCTGATAATAAATAAGAATAACTAAATGCTATCTTCAGATTACCTCTGATCGTTACTGTTCCCACTGCTTGAGAACAAAGTTCTGTCTGAATACAGTCTCTTTCCTCATTTCAATAAAGAGAATTCTTCTCCACCACAATGCATGCACTCCCCTCAAGTCCATTTAGTTTTCTCAGCTCATGTTTTTTTTCTCTTCATTGTGCCTTCATCTCTTCTTCCTCTTTTTCTACTTGACAATTTTCTAGCCTATTCCCTCTCCCCCCAGTTCAAGTTCTCCCTACACATTGTCCATGCCCTCCCCTTCTTAACCCATTAGCCACAGAACTGTACTGACCTCTCTAGCCAAAACCATTTCTCTCTTTACACTGGATGTGTCTTCTGCATTCCATGTCCTTCTGTCAGTTCTAGCTCAAGTCCTGCTTTTATTCCAGTCGGGCAATTTCCTTCTTGTGACAATGATTCCAGAAAGGGGTGTCATTAGAAATACAAGACAACACTCTGCTTTCAGAGCAAAGCGTGTGACAACACCAAAACCCTGGTTTGTATGAAAGCCATTTCACTGTGCACACAACTCTGAGGTTTTATCTAAAAAAGCCTAATAGACCTAACTTAGTAATTATTAATTCTAATTATCTAAATGCTTTAATGTGGTTTTATTTGCATCAAGAAAGGAACAACAGCTATCAGATTTTTTGGGAATATATCAAGTGCAGTCAAACTAATAACAGCAATAATAGTGTGGATAAGGGTAGCACCACAAACAATACAACCTCAGTTTATCAAGGCTTTGAATACTAACCCATGTGACAGTTTCATTAAGAAATTAGGATATCGAGATGTACTTAAAAATCAAAACTAGTATGAAAATGGTACTCATGGAATGGATATCAGTGTTCAGTTTCCAATTGGAAATACAAACTAAATAGGGATTCCACTAGGGACCACCCTCCATTCAATTTAAATGAGCATTTTGCTTTAGGACAAAAACTAGGATGCAATTCAGCAAAGGCAAGTTCAAGGCTCTGTGTTCAGGCAACAGTAATGAACAGCACAAATACAGGCAGCAGGTGAATGACAATGCAGTACTGCTGTAGAAATTAGTTTTGAGACAGGGGAGGCATTGTGGTCCATGAGTCAACAGTGCACTGCCACCACAAAAAAGGCAAACATTCATCCTACAGCATATAAACAAAATAATCTTTAAGACAAGGGAAATAATGCTTTCACTTTATTGGACACTGGTAAAGCTCTCACTAAAATACTGTGCTCCACTTTGGGCACTATTTAAGAAATATGCAGACCAGATAGAGAGAAGGTAGAAGACAGCAGAAGGAATGATCAGACATCTATGATTCTATGATGCTATAGAAAACATGGTCTGAAGAGAAAGCTTAAATCAACTAAGATAGTTTTGCATAGGCAAAAGTAAAATAAAGGGGAGATATCTTCAAACAAATACATTGAAGGTGCAAAAGTACTTCATATCACCAGGAAACAGGGTAGTAAGTCTTAGACTTGAAGCAAAGAAAGGGAAATGTAGGGAAGAACATGAGGAAAAGCTTGCCAGTCTTTGGCTAAAGGAAGATGAACAGAACACTCCTAATAGAAACATTTTAGTAAACATTTAGAATAAAAATCTAATCTAATACAGATTATTCTTAATACTTCCTGTATTCCTTTCACAGGAAATCTGGCTTCTTTTGTAAGAAACTGTAAAATACCATCTTTGAGGCGTCAAACTTTCATATTAACCTAGAAAAGTAAATACAATAGAGGCCCTTCTGACTTCAGCATAGATCTCTATGGGCAGAAAGCTATGCCCTGATAGACAAAGCAGGATTGGGCGATTAACATACTAAGTGCCCTTTCCATGGATCTCAACAGAGAAAACTCCCATTGTGTACTCTCTTTGCAAGTCTGCACAATTAAAAAAAGGGCAACTGAAAAGAACAACCACCTGTAAGATACAAAGACATTTATCAACCAAACAACATACAGTCTTAGCCAGATGTAAAACATTAATGTTGAGACAAACTTCTACACTGAAGCAAGACTTCTACAGATACAGAAATCATATTCTACTTTTCCTGTTTTGTGTTTCTATACATATACATGTATATATATGTATATATGTCTATATCTGCATGCTATATCCTGTCAGTGTCACCCAAACTGTGAAATTCTATAGGCAGCTTCTGCTCATAAATCTAGAAAGCACTTTTTCTGTCAGTAGAACAAACCCTTAATCTAGTTTCAAGGAGTCATAAAAGATAGCTCCTGTGATTCACCCCCTCCCCTCAACAGAAGCAATGCTTGCTAATCCAGCAGGAAATAACATTTGCCAGGATTGACAGCTGTGGATTTGTATTCAATTCTCAAATTAAAAACCAATGACAGGGCCTAGTTCAATGGAGATGTCAAGCAAAATAAAGAAAGTAAAGAACCTGCTGCTTTCTCTGTAAAATACAAACATACATACATTTTGGGTAACAATACTAAAATCTGGAAAGGAGATATAATGGGATTAAGGCTCTTTGCAAATTTTCCCTTGAGGTTTTCTTGGTTTTTGTGTGTTTTTTTTTTACCCCTACAGTAACTCATATTTTGTATTTTTACATATTAAATTTTCCTCTTACTCCTAGTCTATGTTTTGAAACATGTTAGAATCCATTTCAAGAACTATTTGAAACCCTGCAAAAAAAATGGTGTAAAATTTTTCATAGTCAAATCAGCAAAGTCCTCATATATAACGTTATAGTCCAATCTGAAGAAGGCTTAATTACAGCTCAAATATTATGAAGAGATCTAATGGCACAAGTTCTCATGCTTCTGCAAAACTGCATTAATGGTAAATCAAGAGTCCATCTTGGGCAGTTTCTATTATTAAATCAGAAAAATAAGAATCAGAGATGGAAAACACCTGGCACAGTAAAGACAGCCTGTTTTTTAGTGCTGTAACAAACTGCTCTGAAGAGCCCAATGCAACTTTACCAGTTCTAATAGTCTTTGGAATAAATCACAATAGTATCATTCTTCCTGTGAATTCAATCCCATAATTATGAGGTTATAATTCCTTAAATCTCTGTAAACACTCCTCTCACTTGCTGAAAATTATACCTTTCACATACTTCCAGATGTCCATGTTCCTCCAACACATAGCTTAAATAAGGGAACAGGGAACATTAATTTACCTTCAGGACACTTCAGCAATCTGTGAAACAACAAAATGCAACATGTTTAACTTACTGCTATTTACCTGTAAGAAGTGATTTTCCTTAGGTCTGTAACAGCAACATGATAGCCACATTCTTCTAAGACTTCCTCACATGCAATTTCTTCTAAAGAAAGGTCTGGTTTGTCAACAATGCCAGAGCAGAGTTCATAGGTCACTCCTACTGCAGCAGGTAAGGGATCCTCTAGACGAGAGAAGCTCTCATTGTCCTGATTCTGAAAAAGTTGAGGATGATGCTTTCCTACTTCACACATGTAAACAGCTGAAAAAAAAAATAAAAAGATTACAAAAAAAAACCCCAAACAAACAAACAACAAAAAAACCCACCACACAGAAGAAAGGGGGGGAGTGTTAGCTTATTCATATTAAACAGAAAAAAAGACAGTACATGCATTTTGCCTGGAAATTTATAACCATCAACGTACTTGAGAGTAATAAGGAATTCAGTTGTGTTATCTGTTAAAGTTATGACATAGGAAAATTGCAATTTTAGAGAACAAAGGTTCGCTTGCAATGTCTGTAAAATTATTCTTTAAACTCTATTTGTGCTTAGGTCATTTGGAATGAATTCATGAACACTTTTAAATAAATAGAAATAAAAAAAAAGGAAGCTAGTTCATCCAAGAAATCTACATCCCAGAAGTGCCATACAGCTTCCATTTGTTGGGCAGTGTGGGTATCAGGATTTAATTTAAACTATGCAGTTATCTTGCAGGGAAGTTGGTTGTACGTTACGTACCATGTGCACAATGATGAGCCTTTCAGCCTGTCAACTCAGCTGTTATTTAGAAAGGGTATGAAAAGCATGTATGTTTGTTTGAAAAAAAAAAAATCCCTTTTGAACATACAGCTCCTTGCAGAGATTCCTGCATGGAGGCTAAGAAAGACTTCTTGAATTAATCTACAAACAGCTGCCACTGTAATGCACTCCTAAAGAAAGTGCAAATGCCAGATTTTAGTCCTTATTTAAGCAAAACCTCTCACTGATGTCAACAGAAATTTTGCCTGGGAACTGTAGGACTGAATCACTACTGGCAATTTCAGATCCCTGTAACTTTAGCTTGCTGATATAATCCCACTTGTTTCTTTGAAATTTCCTCATGTCTATCCCTTGCTTTCCATGAAAAGCTACCACAAGGATGTTATAAAACAACCTTAGTAAAACTAATTAAAATTTTAAATTATTTTTCTTCCATTAAAGTAGTTTACATGCCTATTTCATATACACGTAACACGGTTTTTCAATGAGCATATCTTTTAAGGAAGGCTCCTATGAGGTTGCACCGGAGCTTTCTCTTCTTCAAGCTGGACAACTCAGCCTGTCTCCATAGGAGAGGTGCTCCAGCTCCTTGATCATTTTTGTTGCACTCTTTCAGACTAGCACCAACAAGTTCACATCATTCTTATGCTGGGGGCCCCAGAGCTGGATGCAGTACTGCAGGGGGGGTCTCACGAGAGCAGAGCTGAGGGGAGATCGCCTCCCTCAACCTACTGGTCTCGCTACTGGTTTCTTACTTGAAAGACATGACTAGAGCTTAGGTTTTTTTTTTTAAATGCAGCATGAAGGCAGGGAAAAAAAAATTAAATAATTCCCTGCAGACTCTGAGGGACAGGTCCTTGATAGGTGTCAACTGTCATTATTCCAAAAACTTCTAAAAGCTATGACAACTACCAAAATGACAACTGCCTCCAAGATACTTCTATGAGCCAAATACTCTTAAGGTTTTATTGCTTTTTTATTACTGACATATCCATATCAGTAAATACAAACAAGAACAAGACATGCATCATGCTAAAGGACTTGGACAACAAAACATGATGCAGGTAAGAGTGTGGCATACAGAAATACAAAACTGTGATTGAAGTTAACTCTCTGTTACAAGTCTGTTGAATCCCTAAAACCAATCCTGTCATTCCAGCAGACACCTGCCATTCTTCTTTTCCCTCAGCGTAACTGGGCTCCACATAGAGCAAAACCTGCATTCTCAGTAGGACCTAATCCAGAAGTCCTCTTCAGAGCAAACTCCTACAATATGCCAACATTTAAAGCCCAGCAACAGCTTTTCTCTGTAGATAAGGAAGAAAAGAAGAAGCACCAGCCACTTCCATAAGAGTCTAAATACTAGAGCATTCACCAAGGAGTAGAAGTATGAATTCAATAAGATGACGGTCGCAAAGGTTCAAACAATTTACCTCTCACAGATAAGCAAAGCCTAGAAAACCAAGCTCCCTGGTAGGGAACAGAGAAGACTGCACAAATGATGCACCAAGGGAAATAAGTACTGGATGGAAAAGCAGTCTGTGGCTTATTGACTACAGCACACTCTTTGGACGGAAACCTGAAACTCTTCTCTTCCTCATCACAGGTTGTCAGCCTATTGCAAATGCACAGAGTGTGTGGAGAGCAGAAATTTGAATTAAGAGCTCAGCTCCCAGCACAGTCACCCACCCCTGTCTGATTGCCTTCTTGTCTCCTGATGGCTTATGCTACTTTGGTCAGAAACTGCCAGTTCATCATCACCGGCATGTCTCCTCCATCGTCAGACAGACACAGGATGAGCAACAGCACAGTTATGACTCAACCAACCTCCTAGTACACATTAAATATCTTGACTCATTACCCTAGAGCCACTCAACTGCAAGAAGTCTCAGAGTGGAAACTCCAGTGGAATTGATGTACTTGCCTGCCTTTCTGCAAAGCTGAGACAAAGGATACATGGCTCAATCAAACTCATCAAATAAGATCGTAATGGTTATTCAAAGCAGCCTTGTTAGATGACTCAGACAGGGACTTGTTTGCTATCCCTTAAGATAAGTGAACAACAGTACGGACTGAGGGGCTGGTGAGGTTTAGCTGACTGGGGAATGTGCTAGCCTTTCTTTAAACTTCTGATTTCTCTTTGATTGGAAACAGTATTTCATACCCCTTGAAAGAGAACATGGCTTATGACTCAAGTCTTTGATACAGCACATTTTAAATCAATGCAAAATAAACCATCACAATCCATTGAAAAGTCATTGTGCTTACAATGAAAAAACCTATGCACATGTTTACAGGAACTAACCCCAGCCTTTCCCAGGAACCTATTATTTTATTTGAAAATGTACGGCAATCGACAACCAAAATGAGCAGTGCTCAAGACCTTTGCAATCAGTCATGGGTGAAGAGCTAATACAGAAACTACTGAAGTATACATGTAATTTGTTTCATAGAATCGTAGAATAGTTAGGGTTGGAAGGGACCTTAACATCATCCAGTTCCAACCCCACTGCCATGGGCAGGGACACCTCACACTAAACCATGTCACCCAGGGCTTTGTCCAGCCTGGCCTTGAACACTGCCAGGGATGGAGCATTCACAACTTCCTTGGGCAACCCATTCCAGTGCCTCACAACCCTTACAGTAAAGAACTTCCTCCTGTGTAGCCAGCAGGGTCAGGGAAGTGATTCTCCCCCTGTACTTGGCACAGGTGAGGCTGCCCCTCAAATCCTGTATTCAGTTCGGGCACCTCAATACAAGAGAGACACTGAGATGCTTGAGCAGGTCCAGAGAAGGGCAATGGAGCTGGTGATGAAGGGTCTGGAGCACAAGTCTGATGAGGAATGGCTGAGGGAACTGGGGTTGTTTAGTCTGGAGAAGAGAAGGCTCAGGGGGGATCTTGTTCTCTACAACTGCCTGAAAGGAGGTTGTAGTGAGGTGGAGATTGGTCTCTTCTTCCAAGTAACAAGAGACAGGACAAGAGGTTACAGCCTCAAGCTGTGCCAGGGGAAGTTTAGATTGGGTTTTAGGAAAAACTTCTTCACAGAGAGGGTGCTCAGGCATTGGAACAGGCTGCCCAGGACAGTGGTGGAATCACAGTCCCTGGAAGTGTTCAAAACTGTGTAGATGAGGCCCTCAGCGATATGGTTTAGTAGTGGTCTTGGCAGTCCTGGGGTAAGGGTTGGATGTGATGACCTTAAAGGTCTTTTCCAACCTAGCTGACTCTATGATTCTATGATCTAAGTCCACAGTGCACTGAAGAATATGGTCCTGTCTGCCCCACTCTGGTTGGGTGCTCCTGCCACCCCTCAAGCCAGCATGAACTTTTTCAGGCCAGTCTGATAAGCCGCCTCATCCTCAACATTTCTGTTTGCAGCCATGTAAGAGCTCTGCTGAGGCTACACAAGAGGTGGTGCTGTCAATGGGAATGGAGTGGGAATGTACATACAGGGAGGGATGAATTCTTTTACAAGCTGCACAGACTTCAATGGGAAAACAGTATTGTTATACCTCACCTTAAGGAAAGGCAAGCACATACGTCAACCCGCACATGTGTGGAGGACGTGCCTGGTAGAGCGAGTGGCAGCTGTATGGTCACAAGTAATGAGCTATTGCTTTCCTGGTGAGACCCTGATAGCAGCCAGCCATGAGAAAAGTCTCAGCCTTTATTTTTGCTTTGTGGAACGTGCACCAGGGCAGACAATAATCGTGGAATGGCAATATAATTATAGTGATGTGAGTAGTGTCAGGGCATGGTTATGATAACTAAACTGCTATGGGGTATCCAACTGACCACTGTCCCTCTGGCCAGGTTTCTGGGCAGCTCAAGCCTCTGGAACAGTTTAACTCCAAGGACAGTCTAGTCTTTTGAGGCAGATCTAACACTTTCATATGGATGATGTAATGAACATGTTGCTGTTCAGCATATATGCATACATACATATGCACATATATGAAGGCTTCTGCCTAAGATAGCCTCAAAGAGAGCAACAGCTATATGAGCCATTTTATTCAGCTGGCAAATAAAAAGACATTGGATTTGTGATAAACAAACGCACACTTTATAATAGTCAATATAGTGCTTCATGGGAAGTATGGACTGTCAGTATAACAGTGCCGCACAAAACTGAAAAGCCTGGCAGTAACTGTCAGTAGACAAGGACAGCATGACAGCACCCTAGAAAGTTTCCCATAAAGTCTACCATGAACAGTCTTGAAATGGTCTCTTAGCAACAGTCAGTGAAATATATTCTGATATTTTTAGTTAACATGCAAAGAATATGAATTTAAGTTTTAACTTCCAGAAAGTAAATATTGCTTTGAATTAAAATAACTGATGAAAAACTCAGGAAAAAATAATAGCATGCTAACCAAAATTCATAATAATAACTGGTAAAATGAACCTGCCCACGTATACATAATGATGAAAAGCAAAGAGTCCTGAATTTCCCTCATTATAAATTCCCAAGTATACAATGCGCAACACCAAGCTTAAAAAAAAAGAAAAAAGGAAGAACAATTGTGCTTCTGCACATTACTAAATACTAGATAGGTCAGAAAGGAACTTCAAATAAAAGCATATGTATTGATATTTGTAATTTCACCCAGAAGATGAGAATGACTAGCCCAAAAGAAGAATTTAAGGCCAGCCTGATCATTTATTTCATCTGTAATGGAAATTTCCCTGGTTAGAAATTCTGACCAACTGAAAGGGGTGGGCTATCATACAAAGAAATGCAATATAGAACAAAGATCTTATCACCACAGATGCACCAACTTTTAACTGCTAAACCCTTAAAAGCTTGCTTCGCTAGAGAGCAAAAGTAAATCTAAAAAAAGAGGATTACCTGGGCGGAACTGCTTCACCAGAACAAAGCACTGCCGAGAAGTATTAAAGATCAGGATTGACACACTGAGAAAGAAGGTAAAAAAAAAAAAGATCAATGCTTTATGAAGGATTAATGCAGAACTATTTAACTTACCTTGTGAATTTAACTACATAAATATATAGAAGATTCATTACTAAAGCCACAATGCTACAAAACCCTTGTCAAAAAGCCATCAAGAGTGATATATAATGGGTCATGTTCCCAAAGCCCCTGAGAATTTACCCAAAATTAAGTCACTTAAGACCAAAATGGTCTCCTGCCATGCAAAGTAACCCTGCCACCAATCAATTCCTTCTCCCCAACAGAATAACAAAAAAAAAAAAGAAAAAATAGATAAACTCCAGGAATGTTGCTCCTAGGTAGTAATAATAAGGAAAAAAAAAATATTACAAATAGCATTTTCTTTCCTTATATCAGTCCCAGATTACATTTTGGAGCCAAAAACTTCTGTATAAGCAGAGTGCCTCCTGTATTTAGATATTTGCTGAGCGTGGACCTTAAAACAGACACCATCCAAGTCCAATTTTGTACAAAATTAAACCAGAAACAGTTGCAACTGCTACCACATTCAATGGTTTATTCAGTCTTTGCCCTGTCCTCTTTGATTGTTTGAGATACATGTCCTAGGGAAACCTGACAGTTTTTGAGTAACTGGTGATGTCATCTACCTGGACTTGTGCAAAGCATTCGACACTGTCCCACACGACATCCTTGTCTCTAAATTGGAGAGACATCAATTTGATGGATGGACCACTCGGTGGATAAAGAACTGGCTGGATGGCCGCATGCAAGGAGTTGTGGTCAATGGCTCAATGTCCAGCTGGAGACCAGTAACGAGTGGTGTCCCTCAGGGATAGGTGTTGGGACCGGTCTTGTTCAACATCTTTGTCGCTGACATGGACAGTGGGATTGAGTGTGCCCTCAGCAAGTTTGCCGATGACACCAAGCTGTGTGGTTCGGTTGATACGCTGGAGGGAAGGAATGCCATCCAGAGGGACCTTGACACGCTTGTTAGGTGGGCTGATGCCAACCTCATGAGGTTTAACCATGCCAAGTGCAAGGTCCTACACCTGGGTCGGAGCAATCCCAGGCACAGCTACAGGTTGGGCAGAGAAGAGATTCAGAGCAGCCCTGCGGAGAAGGACTTGGGGGTGTTGGTGGATGAGAAAAGGAACATGAGCTGGTTTCAGTGTGCGCTTGCAGCCCAGAAAGCCAACTGTATCCTGGGCTGCATCAAAAGGAGCGTGACCAGCAGGTTGAAGGAGGTCATCCTGAACCTCTACTCTGCTCTTGTGAGACCTCACCTGGAGTATTGTGTGCAGTTCTGGTGTCCTCAACATAAAAAGGACATGGAACTGTTGGAACAAGTCCAGAGGAGGGCCACAAGGATGATGAGGGGACTGGAGCACCTCCCGTATGAAGACAGGCTGAGGAAGTTGGAGCTGTTCAGCCTGGAGAAGAGAAGGCTGCGTGGAGACCTCATAGCAGCCTTCCAGTATCTGAAGGGGGGCTATAGGGATGCTGGAGAGGGACTCTTCATTAGGGACTGTAGTAACAGGACAAGGGGTAATGGGCTAAAACTTAAACAGGGGAAGTTTAGGTTGGATATAAGGAGGAAATTCTTTCCTGTTAGGGTGGTGAGGCATGGGAATAGGTTGCCCAGGGAAGTTGTGAATGCTCCATCCCTGGCAGTGTTCAAGGCCAGGTTGGACGAGGCCTTGGGTGATAGCATAAGGTGTCCCTGCCCATGGCAGGGGGGTTGGAACTAGATGATCTTAAGGTCCTTTCCAACCCTAACAATTCTATGATTCTATGCTCTGAAAGTATGGAATACTGATGTTCTCTGCTCACTTTAAATGTACACTCAGAATTTACTAGTTAAAAAAATGCAGACAAAAGTCTCTCTCCTTAGTTGGCAGCCCATTAAAACCTGCAAAAATAAGTGTACATTGTGCTCCTTACCATTTTAGTATTCTCTCATTTGTCATGCCTGCCTCACTGTATGCAACTGGAAAGTTAATTCGTTAGTCTATGAATTCTACAATAGATGAGACCAACAATGGCGTATTTGCAGAGTTGAGTCAAACTTTCAACTTCCCTTTTAAAGGAGCTGTATATTTATTTTCACTATTTGACTTAATAATGAAATCTCAAGCTGCCAGAGAAACTGCTATTTGATGATAATTAAAAATAATGTTAATGTTTATTGTAACAATATATAAAAACCAAAACAGAAGGGAAAATTCCAGATGTTAACATTTATATTCATGGTTGCTACTCTGAGAGACCTGTACTGCATACTGATGGCTTCCTGCCCAGGAGATATCATTTGCAGGCAATTTTAAAGCAGAGATTTTAGCCTTCAGAGAGGCTGGCAGAGAACATTCACTCTGTTTACTGGCATGGGGGTTCTTTCTGACCTAATGGTAGACTATCTGGGAGTTAGAAAGAAATTAAATTATACCACAGCCTACAATGTTCTTTCCCCCCCCCTTTGCATGACTGTTCTTCTCCCTAAAGCAGTACTGTCTGAGTGTAGACATTTCACTAAATAGAAGGGGAAAAGGAATTAACTGCTACTGAACCTTTCTTTTTTGCCTATAGGCCTAAGAATCTGCACTGCCTGAAACTGGAACCAGCAGTAGTCTAAAACTGAGATTAAAGAGAACAGTGGGGACTTCATGAAGCATACAGTTGCCCTTTACCTTTCTTTAAATCCAGCCCCAATCTTTCACTTGGCTTGCCCTCTTCAGCACGTCTCATTAAATAACTCCTATCAACTCATTAAAAGTGGCTCAGCTATTAGACATTATTTTTTTCCTAAGAGTCAATCATTTGAGATTTTTACAGAACAGATGGGAAAACTAAAAACAATCTGTCAGAACTAAGGAACAAGATCAAATTAAGCTGGAAAGGAGTAGCAGCAAGTTATTACAATTGTCTGCTTCTCACACCATCTTGAGATGAGAGGGTACAGATAAGGCACAAATCTGTAGAACTTTCTATTTACTTACTTTTAATTTTCTGAGAGACTGACAAACGATTTTGAACATAAATTTACATTTTTTAACAAACCACAACACACAAGTTCTAATATTTCCTGTCAGAGTTGGAAAGTCATGGAGGAGAAAGTTCAGAGTTACACCTTCTTAAAAGGACTGTGACATTATGTATGCCGTTTGATATTTCCTATTCCACAAGAAACAATAGAACATGAAATATTTCCACAGGTCCCTAGGTCTGTAACTTCTGAAAACCCATCTGAAGCTGCATTCAGGACAGTTGTTTGGGTATAACAGAAAGTTAGGGCAAGACTGTTTAATTGATCTAGAGTGGATGAAACCCTAAGCTACTGCTTTGAATGGGTCTCCTTATTGCTGCAACAATGCAAACAGGTTCAGCTGTTTGGTCTGGCCTGTAAGATAAGAAAACTATCTTCTGGAGTATTAAATCATCATACAAAGAATTCACTAAAAATTATTTTAAGATTATTATTATTTTAAGATTATTTATTATTATATTTTGCATATGACATTAAAAAGGACCACTACAAAAGCAGAGTTCCAAATACATCTTTTGGTGACCACAGCACAGGATATTACAAGGGTATTTGAAGTTTCAAGGCAATTCCCTTTAAAACATTACAACCAAATCTATTTTAGATTATTATATATGCATCTATAAGCTTTAAAGTAGTAACTAAAGATTAAACATATAAAATAAAATCCCAAAAGATTCACAACGACTTTTGGGAACATCTCCACAAATAAAAGATATAGAAGATAAACAAAGCCTAAGCTGTATGTTGGAGAAAAATCACAGAACCAGTAGAACAGAAAAAAAAAGCTCAACCAAACTTCCTAAAAAAGGCAGGAATCCTAGACAAAAATTTAATCTGAAATGGACATCAAAGTGCTGATGTAGCAACAGGCTTCATATGCCCACATCCCAAAGAGGAGCACAAGACCACTTTTTTGCTATTTTCTCAGAAAGGAAAAGAATACTCAGAAATAAAAGGCTCATGATGGATCCAAAACTTGCCTCCATGCCTTAAAAACAAACTTAAACACATCTGCACAAATTAAACAATCTCACAGCTTAGACCTGACCTTTTATTTTTGGGTGGCAGATAATTACTTTTTACCATATTGCACAGTTGTACCTCTTTGCTGGCTATTCCTCCGGCAGCTGACACAGGAAAACTGCTGGTGTAACAGGAGAGGTCATCAATACAAATGCAAAGTAATCGAGCCATAGACGTGCAGCTGGGACTCAACAAGCACATGGCACAACTCCTGCATGCAGGTATCGCATTCGCTACCTGCCACTGCCAGTGGGCTTGCTGCCTCGGCAGGTAAGAGGTGGCTGAGAAGAAAACTCTTCAAACTGTGCTCTATGTGTTGTTTCAGAGCTATAATTTGTTTCTGTGAGACACAGATCAACTCAGACCAATGAAGGAGACTTAACTCCTCCACACTGTATATGCTAGCGGCTGCTTCAGGGACCACAACCAAACAGCAAAGTAACATATTATGAGATGACAGAGGTTTGTCCAGCGTCTTCCAAAGTTGGTGAAAATCACAGGTCTGCTTAGCCTTCAGCAAACCCCTCCTTGGCTTCCCCCTGCAGTAACTCTCACTCACTTTATACATAAAATAAATTACCACTCTAATTACAGGAGACATTTTCCCAAAGTGAGCAGTCATGTAAACAGGTTACTGTGCAATAATGTAGAATACTGTTCCTTCTGTAAATACAGGGAAAATTACAGTAGCCTTAAAATATTTTAAGACAGGTATGTACCTAAAATGTCAGCAAGATGTATCTACAAAGATGAGCTAATCTGTACTTGAGCTTTTATTGTACTAAAGTTTGCAGTTAAAAGTGTGTTTGGTCTTGGTATCTATCACAGTGTTTTCTTAAAGGGATTCCAACTCTTCAGTCAAGGATCTCACGTACCACTTAACCATTTAAACTTCAAAGAAAACCCTGACTGAAATAGGTATTAGGATTCTCTAATGGG